ATTTTCTAGTTGACTTATTCTACATCATTTTTAATATCATAATATGAAATAAATTTTCAGAGACACAGACAACGAAAAGACCGTCGGAGATTTTACTCCCGTCCAAGCGGCGAACCCGCAGAAAATGAAGATATTCGAGATGGATCAGCACTCTTCGAAAAAGCCGACTCCATGCAAAGGCCATTCGAAGGCAAAAATCCATACAAGCCATCGGTAATAAATGACGATTTCGGTCGACATGTTGCACGACCATTCCAAAGTGCCCTGCCTTCAGGGCACCTTGGAAGAGGGATTCACAGACGGAGGCATGCACGACCTTTTGACGGACGTGGGGACGTCTTCACAAACGGACCCTATAACAACCGAATGAATGCAAGACCATTTGACGAAGTTCGCAAGGGACCGTTTGGATCAAGCCAGTACATGCCGAGAGCAGGAAGCTATTATCACGGTAATGCTGCACCATATGGGGGGAGATCTCTGAATCCATATATGCTCAAAGAACGGCCCTCTTATTCGTGGAATAATAGGTGGTCATCTATGTCATCTAGGCAAATGTATATGCCTTCCACAGAAGAGAGGAAGTATGGGGAACCTAATGCAAGACCATATTCAGAAGTATTTCGAAATCCGTACACACCTGAAGAACTGCCTCTTCATCATTGGAATTATGTACGGCCTTTCAGGCAACCGCGCATGCCTTTCGAAGGAGAGGACTATATAGGAAAGAATGTGGAACCTTCTGATGATGTCTCCAAAGAAGATCTGATACCTGAAGGGAGCCGGAACTCCGGAGAAGATCCGGCAACTGAAGAAGACAAGGACTCCGAAGATGTGGTATCTAAGGAAGGCCAGGACATGCGAAAATATGCAAGACCAAATGCAGGAGGGTTTCTGAATCCGTACAAATCTGAAGTGCCTCCTTATTATAATTGGAATTACAGAAGGCCATTGAATGTTATGCAACCGTACTTATCTGCTGTAGACAAAGAGGAGATGAGAAACGATGAGGAACACTCTGAAGTCTCCGAAAAAGATCAGGTGTCCAAAGAAGACGAGGACATACGAAAAAATACAGAACCATATACGATAGGAGATCGGAATACAAACATGCCAGGAGACTTGCCCCAAAATTATGAAGTGTTTCTCAAAACTAAACAACGGAGTATGCAACCCAAAGAAAAAGATAGCATGAGAATTGATGAGGAATCGTCTGAAAATGTCTCCGAAAGAAACAGATTCCTTGAAGAAGACGAGGGAATGCAAAGACATACAAGATCATATGAAGAAGAAGTTCCGAATTCAAGAATATCGGAAGATATTCCCTATCAAAATTATGGAGAACCCAATGACGCTATCCAACAAGACATGCCGTTTACAGAAGAAGACAAAGCTCCCCAAGATAACTTAATTTTAACGATGCTCTCCCTTTCAACAACTCAAACATCTTACGAAGACATTCGGTCTACGACACCCATCCCAAAGGGAGAGGGCATTCAGGATGAAACAGTTCCTACAGAGGGTATAACTCCAACGACGCTCCCCCGTTTGACAGCTCAAACAACAACATCTGATAGTATGCTGCCTGAGACACCGATTGCTGAAGTGAAGAACAACCGAGACGAGACGGTCTTTCGAGAGGGGGCAACAACGACGTCCTACAAGCTGACAGCTAAAACATTATCCAATACCGCAGCACCAACTGAAGGCATTACAGGCATTTCCCTCGAGAACATGACACCAACTATGCCCTCCCGTTGGACAGCTCAAACATCTGACGAAGGTGATCGCCTTCGGACACCCAGCCAAGAAGGGAAGGACGTTCGGAGCGAATCAGTTTCCGAAGAGGCTATAACCTCAACGATGTTCCCCAGTTGGACAGCTCAAAGAACTAACGAAAGTAGTCAGACTACGACACCCATCACAGAAGGGAACGACATTCAGAACGTAACAGGTGTCCCAGAGAGCATGGCTCCAACTATGCTGTTCCATTCGCCATCTCAAACATCTGACGAAGGTATTCAGTCTTCGACGCCCATCACAGGAAGGAACGACAGTAAGAACGGAACAGATCCCGCAGAAGCAGGGGGCATGCCTCCAGTGATGGGACTCCGTTCGCCACCTCAAACGTCTGACGGAGGTGTCCAGTCTTCGACGCCCTTCACAGGAAGGAACGACAGTAAGAACGGAACAGATCCCGCAGAAGCAGGGGGCATGCCTCCACTAATGGTACTCCGTTCGCCAGCTCAAGCACCTGACGAAGATGTTCATTTATGGACGCCCATCACAAAAGAAGAGGGCACTCAGAACGAAACAGTCGCTGCAGAGAGCATGCCCCCAACGATACTCTCCCAGTCGCCCGCTCAGACAACGTTATCCGAAGGTATGTGGCCTAAGATATCTATCTTTGTAGTGAGGAACAACACTTTTTAGAGAGCACAAAGATGACGTCCTTCAATTTGACAGCCGATGCAATACCATCCAACAATTCCGCAGTACCATTTAAAGGCATTAAGTTTGAGACGCCTATCGTATGTAGTATGGATATGCAATGGTATAGATGCAGATCGGCTCGGAAATGATAGCACAGCTAGAATTCAAACCGAGTCCACTTGATAAATAATAAATTTTCTTTCACGTTAAGGTCTCAGGACAGTGTTCTACCTATCTGAAAGCTCAACTCTTTCATATAATAGCATAAATGAGAAATTATTGTCATCAGTCCGCCAAGTTCTGCCCCTGAAGACTGCGACCGCTCAGAAGGCCTGTCTTGATTAGAATGCATAGACAAATAGCGATGGAAGGCTTGATCCTAGGATCGAGAGATTCACACAAAGGTAAGCGAAACTTCAGAACCTCGACCCGTTAGGCCCCTTAACTTATTCCACTTTGGTAAAGTGACAGATACCAAGAGCTACCGTAATACAGTTGAATACTGTAACTAAAAAACCAGATGCAAAAGTGCAATAAGGCGGCAGTTGAACGATGTCATACCCACAGCAATGAAGGTCGACTGATTAGTCAAATTTGTGTGAAGAGAAGTCTCTGACAACTGGCATAGGAACTTAGTAATTTACCGTATCGACCCGCTCTTTTCAATGTCGAGTAAGTGGTGATGAACGTTTAGAAATCACTAAATTAAAACGCGGAAGCTGGCATACAAGCTATAGCCGTATCGACGGCACGAAGAAACCGGGTTCAGTTTCCAACTGGGCTAGTGTCCCCGTTTGGGAAAACCAGTCTCTGTTATGATTACGATGATGAATTGATAATATCAATTTTGATAACCTGAGATAACCTTCGCGGCTGTGCGATATGAATTGATGTCATGAATGTTCGATAATGACAGAAAGGGGTTTCAGGAAAGCGAATAGCCCTGCTAGGGAGTGAATGAATGAAAACATTCTCAGATCCCCTACCCAAATGTACATTCACTAGAAACGCACACATCTAGAACAATTTCTGTCTGAGGATGGTCTCATGAACCAAATTCGACCCTTAAAAAGCCTCCTATACTATTAGCAAGACAGACTGAGCTCCTTAATAGCTCGTCATGGTAAAGGTAGCGGAAGCCCACTACTTAAGGTTTTATCATTTCCGGGAGGGGGGGGGNGGGGGGGGGGACTTCTTGATGAGCTTCTCCTTCCTTGTTTTCTTATCCATTCCCGATCCTACCCTTCGTTGCCTTGGTATGTCGACGAACAACCAGTGCAGAGGTTCAATAATGGATGGAAAGAAAAATTTAAAAAAGAAATTATTGGTAAGGAGTTCATAAAGCATACAGTTGGCACCTGTAGCTAAGCTCGAATTCCAATTCAAAAACCATTCATCCAAAGGGTGCTGACCAAATATGATTTACAATAACGGTCCAGGTACATTTGGTCCACTAGTTGAGGTCTAAAATGCATGATGATGCCGAAATCTCAAGGATCTTCGGCTTTCGGCTTCAGCGATGCGATGGGATCGAAATGTTAGTCTAATAAAGTCATTCTGCCTTGTCCAAAGCCTTAAAGTTGACATTAGATTGGCTTTTTCCGAAGTAAATCTGGACAGAATCAATTTCTTCCTAGAAAATTCAAAAATACGAGAGATTCTCTTGGTTAATCCCTTTTTTGGTCGGCAGCGATGGGACAGCTGTAAGAATAATGATTCCGGAAAGTAAGAATTCGACGCAGCTCTTAAATTACATCGTACGTATGGCGTAATTTTAATAGCGAATTCCCGAACAAAGAGTTTGACCTCTAGCGAAAGAGTTTCGGCGACCTTCAATTTTACGAATTCCCGACGATTTCACTTTACCCCCGACTATAATCGTTCAACTCTCCTGAATCAGGGATTCGACGGAATCTTGACCTTCCCAAGGTGAATTCTCTATGAACGACTACATTCGCACTATAACTGGACTGTACAGGGTGGGCCAGAATTATGATTACACAGAAATCACATCGCAGAAAACGAATAGAAAGCCAATAGGTCAAACCAATTTCATTAAAGGGTTTAGCACAAATTTCTTATCAAAACTGTACATTGAGACTGGAATCCGTTGCTTTCTGCTTTCACCCAACCCCAAAGACGACGATGGACGGCATTGACGGTGGCACGCAGCTAGGGTCATCGGAATGGTCCCGGCTTTTTGCTAAGCATTTTCGAGATTATTTCTTCTCTTGTTTGGACTAAAGGATGCTTTCATCTCAGAGGCTGACCACATTGAGACCTTCATGGGATTTACGTCAGGGCTCCAGAGTGGTCACTGATCGAAGGTTATGAGGTCAAAGAACCACTTTCACGAAATTTCTAGACAATTTCCGTCCTGCGGTCAGGATCTTCATCGTGACAATATGACCGGTTCGAATCATCAAAGTGCCCTGTTGCGCACGAAGAGAACAAACAGGCCTCCAAACCAACTTTCACTTCATAATTTACAAGAATAATCGGTGTCTATGCCTCGACGGTGATGCTAGCACAGGTCATCACAGAAAGTTAGTGAGCCAGGCGCTGTATCACTTTCATTTCGTTAAGCTTCATGTAAATGTTATCGCTCTACTTATTGAGCACCTTTTTCACTGTGAATCTTTTCTCGTCGGTGAACAGGAATTCCGTAGGACAATTTTTCCGGATGCGACAGGCAGCTTTTGTTGGCCAACCCTTCTCTTCTCTTTAACCTGCTCTCTGGGGAAATCACTTTCTGATCGTATAACGGTCTCGTTGTGCAGGGGATGCTTCACGATTTCACGCAGAAAATTTCGTGACGTATCCATTCATTTAGCTTTTTTGGACTCAGAATGTATTTTGCTCCTACGTAGACCTTTGCCCTGCCTCCTTAACACTTCCCCTAAATATATCCACAGCTCTCCTAGGTTCACCACTCCTATCTGCAATTGTTCCCAACTCTCGAGAGCGTCTTATGGTTGAATGCAATAGCTGCCTTGTTTCGCTAGTTCGTCTGTATATGCACCGTGCCAAAAGTGTTTGTAAATGCGAAGCTACGTTTAATTCACGGACTAGTTGCGCTTATATTATGCTAAAAATCTACCCAACTTTAGTATCATTAGAAAGGTAATAACGTAAGCTACTTTGTGAAATGGAAGAAATTCAATGAATTTGGCCCACCCTGTACATTAATAGGTTACAACTGGTCGTCAATAAATCCTAATCTGGCGATGAAGAAATCTGAGGGGAAAATCATGATCCACTTTAGTCACGGTTCAGCCTGTAATCACACTGACGACTGCTGGTTTCTACACAGTACTTCGGTATCTCCTACGAGGACCTGTAAGCTACGTCTAAGCTCTCATAAAGGACCATAAAGGGATGTTGAGGTCATGAAGTCCTTCGAAGTTTCTGTCCTCGACATTAGCCTATCTCAATCTTCCGATTGGGTAAGAATAGAAACTATGTATGTGGCGGGGTACTCTTGAAAAATCCCGAAAACTTGGATTTCTGTGACTATTTCTTTTCTCTTCCTTTTGCGATTGTATGCAAGCCTTTAAAAGGTACCTTACCGAATATGTCAATTACTCGCTATGGCAATGGGTAAAGAACAAGCTTGTCTTTTCATACACCCTTTCCTGTGTTGGTTCCCATTTATTTTTTCTCTGGCTATTTTTTATCTGCGCTCTTCATTCTAGAGTGGAGGTGGTGTGGTGGTAAGTGAAGCACTATTTCACATGCATGGTAACGGTTCGAATCCCGGGTTGATATCCGCCTAGGCAAACAAAGCCTTCTATCAACTCGAGGCCGGCTAATGGGTACCAGATTCGTCTGGAAAGCACTGACTTATACATCGGCTGGCCACCGCGATTCATTGTATGGGCACGAACGCATTCAATACGCCATTAGATTTTGAATGGAAGCCGAGCGCTAGGGCGCATCCCTTACTAGATTGACTACGCCAAAAGATTTTGGGACTCCGAGAATTTTCACTTTAGAACTGCTCAAGTGTCCCTCTGGTACTCTTAGGTACTCGCTGACACAGTCTATGAAACAGTTCATCCCTGTTTTTTCCTCAGAATGGATGATCAGAACGAGAAGGGTTGAAGTTACTTTTTTTGCATATCGTTAGGGTATCGAAGGTATTTTCAACTCGATGGCTTGCAAAAACCGGAATCTTCAGAAGAGAAAGTGCATTCGCTTGTGCAAATGAATTTGATGGACAACTTAACAAAGTCCACTGGAACTTGACGATAAAAAGCACGGTCCAAAGGCCGTCTATCAGAAAAAAACATAGGAGTAAAAAAAGAACAATAAAATGTACAACAGTAGCGACAAATTACCGTATTTAAAATTAAAAACTACGCGAATAAATCTGTACTTGCAAAAAAAATTTCAAATAAAATTGTCTGATGACTGATGGTTTGTGTGCGTGAGGCGGAATCAACGGACAAAAAAAGTGGATCTGATCGAATAAGCCGAATTCGGAGTCTCATTTATTCACTGTGCGCTAATATCAAGATTCTTTGATGGGAGATTATTGCAACATAGCTTATGAGATGAAAGGAATCAATCGCACCACCAAATGGGGCAGTGCTAATATAATTGCAAATGGAGCACTATTACACACGAATGGTCACAGGTTCGAATCCGGGATCGATACCAGTCTAGGACAACCGAGCTTTCCATCCCCTGGGATCGGCTAATTGGTACTAGACTTGCTTGTGAGGATAAAAGCGCTGATTTGTACATCGGCTGGCTACCACAAGACATTGTATGGCAACATACGCTTTCAGTCCGCCACTACGATTTTAAGTGGAAGTCGAATTCGGGGCGCATCCCTTAGACGGGATTGATTAACGCCAGAAGACTCTATTCTCAATTTTTCATGTGGGGCAATATGAGTATGGGAGAACACAGGCGCACGTTCAGTAGACATAAAGACGTTTTTCATGGTTCAAGAAAAGGGAAGAAAGAGGGTAAGGAAGGCAAACGCTTCTATTATAGGGAAAGATTGGTTACTTGGTGGGTTTGCTCCTCCCCACACAGAAATCATCATTGGAAACATGATGATCCCTGGATGAGGGGACCAATTGTATTAAGAGATAGAAGAAAGTAATTTTGATCTTTTAATTTGATTCGATTTCGATCA